GATTTTGGAATCCGGATCAAGTGATCTGAAAAGGCACTCTTTTGATTCTGGGTCACTTCCTAAATTTAGGCCTCCAAACGTGGATTCTACCACGTGACTTAGAATCCTGAGTCAGGATATAGTTTCCAAACGAAGCCTAAAATTTTGGATGGATACCACTAATTTTGTCTCATAAAAAATCCCTACACTATTTTCTATCTATTAAATTTAATCCCTAAACTTAAAACAAAAAATATACCAAAATTACTTCATTTTTAAATAAATTGATGTAGAAAAAATTAAATTTAATCCCTAAACTAAAACAAAAAAATAAGGATTCTATTGACACACATTAAATTTCTAAATAACCCAACACAAATAATAATATATTTTTTTGTTATAGTAGATAAAATAATGTTATGAACTAATGGTATGGTACACTTTGTTGTAATGTGAATTGTGGTTTGCAGTCAATTGCTTTTACTCTAATTTTTTGGGAATGTTTTCCCCTTATTTTGGTGTGAAAGATTATAATGAATGGTTAAGATATATATGAGTATTTGAATTTTGAATGTGTTGGGTTTTATCTTTTTACTTTGTTTTGAATGGGTATAATACAAAAATAGAGTGACAGATTGAGAGATCAAGAGATAAAATGGTTAAAATGAGTGTATACAAAAAATATTTATGAAAATATATGTCTTTAAAGTTATTATTATCACATAATAATAATACGAGAATATTTATTAATATGGTAGGGCAAATATAATCACTGAAAAATAATATATCAAAATTACATATGTGAATAAATAGAAAATAAAAGTCAAATATGTGTAATTCATTAATTCAAAATTACATATGTTAATATTTTCTATCTACTTATTTAAAAAATAAACTATTTTTGTCATTTTTGTTAGTTTAGGTATTAAATTGAGTACAACTTTTAATATTAAGATTATTTTTAAAGAGAGAAAATAGTTTAAAGACTTTTACAAGACAATTAACTATTTCTATTTATGAGATTTTTTTTTTTGAGTTTAAAGATTATTTCATGACATAAATGGATTACGAGGACCAATAATAAAAGGAGAAAAAAATTCACGAATTATTAATGAATTTAACTAAAAAAATATTAAAATTTTTGAAATTGAAAGTCCGTTTAGTTCAGTAATTTTAGTTTTTAATTTGAATTGAGATGTAATTTTATATGAGAGTTTTTTACTGTAATAAAAAAATTAGATATGACTGTTTCTGAGAGCTTTTTATTATAATAAAAATTGAATTTTAAACTAAAATCATAAGGACGTTTGGAATAGGGATTCGTATCATAATTTTAATCAAAATTCGTAACTTATTATTATATTTTCTCTCATAAAAAATACACATAAAATAAAAATTATTTTAAATTATAGTTATGAATCCATCAATTAAATATCACCAAAATGAACGTGACATGAAAATTTTTTTTTGTTTGGTTGTTAAGAGACAGATATGCTCCGTTATTTCGTGGAGCACTGACAAAGTCGAATTTTCCCCTATCCACAAAACCCAGAAAACTCCCAACCATGGCAATGGCTCACTGCCACCAATCTCCCACTTTTTCCCTCTTCCCAAACCCTAATTACGCTCACAATAAGAAATTCTCTTCGTTTTCCGTTCGATGTTCGTCGAATTCCCCTCCCAATGCCGAGGACAACTCGCCGAGGAAGAAGAAGAGGCTGTCGCAGCAGTCGTTGTGGGAGGCCAAAGATTCCGAGGGCAGAGACTACCTCTACAGGTTGGGCAAGGAGGCCGACAACATGAACATCGCCGTCGGAGCTAGGTCCGGCGTCATCGATGACCTTTTCGCCGGAAACTTTCTCGGCCGAGACTGTACGACGGTTTGAATTCTTTTGTCTTTGTTTAATCGATTTGGTTCGCGTTCGAAAACCGTAGGAATTCGATTAGCATGCAATCAAGAGGAGGATGTTGCAGAGATTTAAATGGCTGTTGAACTTCTAGATTGTGGTTTTTCTTGCGTAATTGTTGATTCCAATCGTTCTTTTGACAGCGGATATTGTGTTTGATTATCGTCAAAAGGTGACGAGGTCGTTCGAGTATCTTCAAGGCGATTACTACATCGCTCCTCTCTTCATGGTATATTCATTTCCACTACTGCATTTTGTAAAATTTGATATTGCTAATGGTTGTCATTGTCATGTTTGAAACTATATTGTTATGCGTTTGGTCAGATTTTGATTCTGGTATTGAGAGCTTCTTTGTCCTGTTTGTTTTAGTTTGAACAAGATCTGTTTAGTTATGTTATGGTCGAGCCATTTCTTTACTTCCCTAATTACAAGCTGCATTTTTCAAAATCGAAGCTAAAAAGTGGATGAACTAGAATTAGGTTGTTTCGTTAGATTGCCTTGCATTTTGACTTTGTGATAAAATCAGCTAAGAACGGAAAAAACTAAGGAAGCCTCTTGTTCGAGTTTGAGACTCGTGCATCTTTGTCCTCCATTTGGGGCAATGATAACAATTTATTTTTTTCTTTGTTTCACTGACTAATCGTCTTATGCTATTATTGTAGTTTAAAAGTTTTATATTTTGCCTCAAACATGATTTCTGTTACTGAATCTAATTTTACTATTTTATCACTTGTTTCTTTTTGACAGGATAAAGTTGGTAAGTTCTGTAAAATTTGAAAAGTGGTAAAGGTACTGACAGAGAATTCACGTTGGAGCTGTCAGAAGACTTGGTAGAAATGCTTATTTTTTGTTTTTTTTAATCTTAAAATAATTCTTAGGATGAGGTTTATAATAATTTTTTTCTTGTATCTTTTGTCATTGATTAGTATCGTTATTATCCTATTTTCATTTTCGTTATACCATTTTGTCTTTTGGAATATATTCTACAAAGTTCACTTGAGATGTTGTTCTCATTTTTCTCTTTGGACCTTGGTTCGAAAGTTAGGTGATGGGGAGAGGGGATACTATCAGATTTAGGGAAGGTCATTGGTGTGATGAGCAGCCCTTTTTGAGCCAATTTCCAGCTTTATTAGAATTCCTTCCTTCCATAACCAACCCATTAGCAATTTTGTCTTGGACACTTTACAGGGGGAGAGCGAGAGTGAGGCCCTCTCCTGGGACTTTAAGTTCTCCAGAAACTTAATTGAAAGGAGATAGTGGAGGCTTCGGAGCTTGTTTCTGGTTTGTACAGAATCCTCCTTTCGGATGGGATTTTGGACAGATGAGGGTGGGGCTTAGATCATTCAGGGCTTTTTTTCAGTCAAATCATTCTTTTCATTTTTGACTAATGATCCTTATGCCATTCCCTTTGATCTTTTCAATCTTGTTTGGAAATCCTTATTCTTTTTGAAGTTAACGGAATACTCATGATTTAATGTTACGATGAAAATTGTTTGTCTCAAACTCTCAATTTCCCCAGATTGGTGTAACTTATGCAAGAATAGTGGTTAATCAGTTGATCACTTGTTTTTGCATTTCTCTTTCCCCTATAGCATCCGGTACCTATTGTTGAGAGATCTCAGACTTTCTTGGGTTACCTCCAGGAGTTGCAAGGAGTTATGTGTCTTCTTCTCGGTCTGGACCTAACAAAAGGAGGGAACATTTTGGGGAAGGTTGCAATTTTAGCTATTTTTTGGGGGAACTGAGAGAAACCGTAGAATTTTTTAGGGCCACGAGGAAGGTTGTTCCGTCATTTGGGATGGGGTCCAATTTTCAGTTGCAGTTTGGGTCCATGGGGATAAGGAATTTAGAACTTTTCTTTTGGACTTTATTAGGAGTTGGGATCCATTTTTGTAGCTTAGTCGCTCTTTTTTTTTAATTTATTTTTTTTATTATTTTTAATTTTCTTGAAGATATCTCTTTGGCTGTAAATAAGTTTTATCAATTTTTCTTGTTTCAAAAAAAAAAAAA